CGGTGGTGTACTTCAGCGGATAGATATTCCCGAGTGGAAGTGGGAGAGGATTACTATGGATTTTGTGAGTGGTCTCCCTCGTACCTCGAAGAAGTTTGATTCGATTTGGGTGATTGTGGATCGGCTGACCAAGTCCGGCACTTCATTCCGGTGTGTACTACCTATTCTTCGGAGCTGTTGGCAGAGATTTTCATCCGGGAGATTGTTAGGTTGCGTGGGGTCCCAGTTTCTATCATCTCGGATAGGGGCACTCAGTTCACTTCCCATTTCTGGAAGACTTTTCAGCAAGAATTGGGTACAAAGGTAGAGCTGAGCACAGCATTTCATCCCCAGACGGACGGGCAGTCCGAGCATACCATTCAGATATTGGAGACCTCAGGTATGCTTCTCGGCCCGCTCGAGGACGAGCGTTTGTTTAAGTTGGGGAGGATGTGACGATCCAACCCGTCGTCTCATGTATTACAACCCCGTTTCCCCCATTTATTGCTCTTTCATGTTTTATTATCAGCAACGGGCGAATTAAAGTTGAATTGAATTGGTTTGGATAGGAAATGAGACACTTAGTCTCTTTAAGGAAGGTTTGGTTTGGAAAAGTCAACCGAACGTTGACTTATTAGTTAGAAGGCTCGGATGTGAATTTCGGTGATCCGGTTAGCTTTGGGAGGTGATTTGTGACTTAGGAGTGCGATCGGAAGTGATTTTGGAGGTCCGAAGTAGAATTAGGCTTGGCATTTTGGCGAATTCCGGTGGATAGGTGAGATTTTGATCCGAGGGTCGGAATGGAATTCCGAGAGTTGCAGTAGCTCCGTTAGGTGATTTTGGATATTTGTGCAAAATTTCAGGTTATTCGGAGGTGTTTTGGTCGAGTTTTTGATCGAATGCGTAATTCGGAAGTTTTTAAGAAACTTAGGCGTGAATTCGATGTGATTTGATGGTTTTAGCGTTGTTTGATGTATTTTGAAGATTGGAACAAGTTTGAATAAGGTATTAGGATGTGTTGGTGTTTTTGGTTGAGGTCCCGGGGGCCTCGGGGTGAATTCGGGCGGTTAAACGAGAGTTTTGAGGTGTGTTGCACGTTCAGCTTTTCTGTCATCTGGTATTTCCGCTCCTGCGGAAACGGACCGCAGAAGCGGTTCCGCAGGAGCGAGTGGTGGATGGCATAAGCGGTTCATGGCCTGGTGGAGTGTTTCCGCAAAAGCGGAACATTTTCTCGCAAATGCGAGTCCGCAGAAGCGGATTATAAACCGCAGAAGCGGTCTTGGGTGGTTCGCAGAAGCGGATGGGGAGACGCAAAAGCGGACGTTGGGTTTTTAATGAAAATCCTCAAAAGCGGGATGTTGGCCGCAGAAGCGGTCCCGCATAAGCGGAAACGGGACCGCAGAAGCGAAATCAACTGTTACAGAAGGGTTTAAAATATTAAATTTCATCCGCGAACAAGAGGTAGTTTCCACCATTTTTAAGCGACTTAGAGAGCTTTGGGCGAGAATTTTCAAGGGTTTTGACTGAGAATCAATTGGAGGTAAGTCTCTTGACCTAATTATTCGAGTTTATGGTAGAAATTACATGTAAATTGTGGAAAATTCATCAAAACGGGTCAAGCTAGGGCTTGGAAAGTTGTGATGTAAAAACGGATTTTGAAAGTGCATTTGAACTCCGATTTTGGTAAAATTGGTATGTGTAGACTCGTGGCGAGATGAGGAATCCAGTGATATAAATTTTGTAATTTTTCGAGAAGTAGGCCCGGGGCTCGGGTTTTGCCAACTTAATGAATTTTGGTGTTTTTCGAGTCTTTTCGATTGGGTTATGTTTCTTTAGCCTATTGTAATGTATTCGTTGTGGTTTTAATCAGATTCGGCGTGCGAATAGGTTGATTCGAAAGGCAAAGGCATAGCGAGCTAGACTTGTGGCCGGCTTGAGGTGAGTAATAGATGTAGATGATGACCTGAGGGTTTGAAACCCCGGTATATCACATTGTGACGCTATATTGAGGCGAGACACGTACTCTATGACGAGTGCGGGGTCGATTGTGACTGGGGATTGTGACCTAGTCCGTTCCGATTGATGTTCGTACTGTGTTCTTGACTAGAAATTGTTGGTAATCATCCTACTTGGATTTTATGAATATGTTTGGGGCTTTGTGTGCATCCTTCAGGGATCCTTATCATTGCTTCCATGATGCTTAGCATATTTCATGATATCAGTCCTGAGTTAGACCCTGCCTCGAAATGTTTAGTAAATAAATAAAGGTTTAAACACTTAGCTCTATAATTCCTAATAATTGAGACTAAAATGAATAATTTGACTGTGCCCGAGTGGCTTGCATGCATATATATATCTGGTCTGAGTGTGGATCGGGCTGCACGCCGCAGCGAATGTTACGATGATATTGCGCTTGGGCTGTAGGAGCCCCTCCGGAGTCTGAACCCCCACAGTGAGCGCGGGTATCCAAATGGATCGGGCTGCGCGTCGCAGCGGTCATGTGCATTGCATTGCATTCATGCATTTTATATCTGTTGGTCTTAATTGTCATTGTCTGCTGTTGTTTCATCGTTTAACGTGCTGAATCGCTGATTATAGCTTTATATTGTCATATTTCGGAATTTCTTACTTTCAGCCATTATATATGTTTATTACTCACTGAGTTGGAAGTACTCACTTTACTCCCTGCACCATGTGTGCAGATTCAGGTGCTCCGGAGACTTAGTGGAGCTGTTTGCTGTTTTCGTGAAGTTTATTTTCAGGAGTTGTTGAGGTAGCTGCCTGACGTCCGCAGGACCCGACTCCTCCCCTTTATTTCATTTATCTTTCCATATCCTAGACTTCTTTATTACTATGGATATATTACTCTGTTACATCTAGAGGCTCTAGACTCGTGACTCTAGATCTATTGGGGACTGTTTGGATATTCGTTATTATTTTCCGTACTATTTTATTTAGATTTGGATTGGAACCTTGATATTTGCTATTTTAATCGTATTATTTGTTAACGGACTGCGTAATGGGTTGAGAGTATTTAATTGGTCGGGCTTGCCTAGCATTAGTGTTGGACGCCATCACGATCGGGATTGGGGTCGTGACACCCCTGCTATCATAGCTCATAATCACGAGTGGGGGTGTACATGGACCGGGTTGGTTCGACTTTTATTAAAACCAAACCAAACCAACTATATCGGGTTTGGATTGGTTCGGTTTTGTCGGGTTTTTCGGATTTTTTTGTTATGTGAATATTATTTCAATCTTACTTTGTTAAACTTTTTATAAGTAAATATATGTTTAGTAAAAATTGAAAAACCTGACAAACATATGATCTATTTAAATATTTTTATGGTAGCATTTTGTTAATAACACATGATAGTTATTTTTTTAGTCCTCTGACAATAATTTTTCGTTGATGTATACTTATAAGATTAAACGAATTTAATAATTAAACATAAAAATTAACATGATACCTAATTAATGATAAGTTCTATTTAATTTTAGATTATCAGAATACCACTTCAAATTTAAAAAAGATATAATTTAATAAATCTTGATATATGAACAAGGAAGAACAAAGAAATTGACGCATTTCAGTAACACTTGATAAGAAAGTGATCATATAACCCATTATTTAAGGTTAGTAAAAATGGAGTACTTCATATTCTATTAAATATTACATTCCATAAGAGAACCCCAAATATTTCTAGAATTTTTGTAAAGAAAATTCTATATAAAATCTTAAAAGTATATATAAAAATTATATATTTATATGTCGGTTTGGCTCGGATTTTTTTTACTCAATACCAAACCAAATCAAACCAAACCTAGTCGGGTTTTTTAATCGGTTTGATTTGACTTTTCGGTTTGGTGCGGTTTTCCGGTTCGGTTTGTACACCCCTAATCACGAGTTAAGGCCGGACGCTGCGAAGTTAGTCATTTGCCTGAGAATTGTTTTCCATATAAATTGTGTAAAAACTTAATTTTGCATGATTGCTATTATAATAACTAACAAGAGCGCGAACTACAACACTTGGTGTGATATCAAGTAAGCTTTCATTAACCAAGTATTAGAACAAGGCTAACTTTTTTTGTTAGTTAAGATTCTTGTAATGTCCCCAATATTTCTCTAGTTTGATAATCGGGACTAAATGTTCACAAACTTGAAATTATTTGCACTAATGTTCCAAGATTGAACAAACTTTCATTGAATGCCTTGATGGACAGGATTACCTCGGCAACTTGTGTTGGCAAGCTTAGACAAGTTTTTTGTTGGATTAGTCTAGTTATACGCAAGTTGGTCTCGACACCATACCAATATTAACAATAAGAAAAAAAGGAGAATTACAAAAGCAATAAAGGATGCTATTTATGATGCCAGAGCAAGAAAAAGTTTTTACGGGCAAAGATAAAGTAGCGCTAGCTGCAGTGTTTTGGGCTCCTTCATCAGATAACATCACTGGAAAGAACAACAGATAACCAGGGCAGAGCTAGCACATGAGCTACAGATTCGGCTGAACCCAGTAAAACTTTGGTTCAAACCATGTATTTGTCTTAAGAAATCTATTGAATAGATACAAATTACTATTAATTTAGAACTCAGTAACTTAAATGAACTAAAATTGCAAACTCATAAGCTTCAAAACGTAGCTCCGCCTCTCAAGATAACAATACCACTCACTAGGATGCAACATGGAACTTCCAAAGAGACCAGCAATGGTAGATATGTAGAAATAACATGTTCCTATTACATATCAGAAAGGCCAAATACATACATCTTGATATCCTGTTTAGGCCATAAATAAGCATCTAGTTTCCCACTTCTGCTTCATTTTTCTTTCCCTTTTTTTTTTTTTAGGGGGGGGGGGGGGGAGGGTAGGTATGGGAGTGGGATAAGGTTAACTTCTGCTTCATTTGTTTGCAATTTCTGTAAATCACAGGCACATGTAAAGTGTAAACAAAAGGCACCTTAATAACAGAGCACATCACAAGTAAATCTAAAATTTCTTGTTTTGCACAGAATATATCACTGCCCAAGCCTGCATATACATTATTTGATTCAATGACCAATGGACATAAAACATCCATTTCCACTGTTTGATTCACTAAACCTTGTTGGGAAAATACTCAAAACCTATAATCTTCTAACAAAGAAATTATAAGTGACAATCTAAATACCAACTTTTGCATTTTAGCAATTTCTTGTTGAATCCTAAACCACTGTGGTCAAGATAGTTTTCTTGCGGAAACACAACCTCTTTTTTTTATGATGGCAGTGACCAAACTTACTTCCGTGCACCTTGACTATTCCACCGCACATATATATGTTACCTTCCATCAGCACAAGTACCAGTAAACGTGAGGAGTGACACCTCCGCCCTACTAAAGAAGTTCGCAAGCAAGGGACAAGCCGAACACCTACCTTTCCAACTAAGTCCAAGGCGAGGACCCTTTAATTGGCGATGCGTTCCGTCGTCAGCAAGCGGTGGCCAACAAGGCAATTTTTGTAAGACACACGTAGAAATATGCCACTGATGTGAGGAAAGCCAAAGCCTAAGCAACAATAGTATTTATATCATTCGTGGGTGCGGCTAACACCCCAGGAGGTAATTGTATGATTTTCCAAGGTAAAAAGCTCGGACAACTCTACCAAACATGGCTTAGGCAAGACAGATAAGGAAGAAATCACCTCATATAAAAATCAACTTTTAACTAAAAGCCTTGCACAGACAACTTCTCTTCAGCTACTCATGGAACTTCACTTTCAACAATTTACTATACTATTTAGCTCAACTATTTAACATCCATATTAACACCAAGCTAAAGACATACAACAGTACAACCGAAGTTTATTTCAAGTTCAATTGATTTACTATTCTATCTAACACTGACGAATATAAGATTACAAACTATGTTGCACGGACTTCCCAAAATGCTATCGCACCCATATGCTATCGCACCCATGTCGGATCCTCCAAAACTACATGTCGGATCCTCCAAAACTACACTGCTTTTGGAGGATCCGATACACCCGGTGGTATTTTCAAAAGTCCGAGCGACATAAATTACAAAACACATGATTACATGAAAAAATCCCAAACATGAAACCCTAAATCATTAATCACAAGAAATAAAAGACAAATTTACCCTTCTTTACTTTCAAATTACCTTTTTTCCTATACAATTTTACTCCTGCTAACAACAGCAAGGGTTTTAACTTGCTGTTCGCTGTAACGGCGCTTGAGGTAACATTCGAGGATCTCCATAACGCAAACGAACCGCTTCATCTCCTCTAATTGGCGGCTCAGCTCAGCTTCTCGAGCCCTGGCTCGCTCAAGTCGCGCCTCCGTCTCGGCTAACCGGTCTCGGAGGTTATTGACTACTACGGTATTCTCGTTCGCCGGCGGTGTAGTTCGGGTCCGGGTCGGGTTGGTTAAGGCGCCTTTTGACGGGAATTGTTGACTGCCGTAGCACATTTTCTCGAGGGAAATTTGGAGTAGTTGTGTTAATGCTAATGATTTGGAAGCTTTTTTGGTAGAAGGGGAGGTGATTAAATGGAAATATTAGGAAAGGTGTAGAGAATCAACGGTGATTATCTTTTGCTTAATTTAGACCCTATGATCTTATCAATTACTACCTCCGTCGAATATTATGTGCCGTGTTTCTCTTTTACACGCCCCTTAAGAAATATCAATTAGGAAAGGGATTGGACTATTCTACCCTTATTTATGTCTTAAAGATATAATTTCTCTTCTTTGAATATTTATTCTATTCATGTGTTATCTCTATCTTCAAGAACAATTATTACTAAGGGTAAAAAAGAAAAAAAACAATCAATTTTGTCCTGAACTTCCAAAATAACAAATAATTTGAGACAACTATTTTTGATAACCATGACTATTAATATGAGACGGAGGGAGTACTAAATAATATAACTAGTATTAGAACACGCGCGTTGCACGGTCAATATTAGAAATATTAATTATTTTAATTATAATTTGTCTTTATAGTATATTATATCATGTTGCCTTAATAAAATTTCAATTGGCATCTTACTTCTCAATACAATATTTCATTAACTACACTATATGAAATTAAAGAAAAATGAATTATATAGTCATCATATAATATTTTTGTTTCTTATTTTTCTTTATTATAATTTTTATTATCTAATATTATTACATTATTTATATGACTATTTATTAGCGTCTAACTTGGCTTAATATCATTTTCAACATTACTTGTGACGACCCAAAGGGTCATCACCTGTTTTTAATTAATTCTGTGCTTCCGAGGCCTTGAAAACCTCATTTAGAGTCGCCTCAATTTGCATGCGCAGTCCGGGCGCGTAGCCGGAAAGCTCAAATATGAAATTCTGTGAAAAATGCTAAATTTTGAATTTAAAATGAATAAATTTGACTTTGGTCAACATTTTGGGTAAACGGACCCGGACCCGTGATTTGACGGTCCCGGAGGGTCCGTAGAAAAATATGGAACTCGGACGTATGCCCGGAATCGAATTCCGAGGTGCCGAGCCCGAGAAATAAATTTTTATAAGAAATTGTTTTTCTGAAATTGTTAAGGAAAATTGAGATGATATTTGATTGGAACGTGTTGGTATCGGGCCCGTATTCTAGTTCCGGCGCCCGGTACAGGTCTTATATATGCTTTAAGTCATTCCTGTGAAATTTGGTTGAAAACGGACGTCATTTGACGTGATTCGGACCTAAATTGAAAAATTTGATGTTTTATGAAGTTTGAAAGAATTTTTGGATTTTGAGGTTTAATTCGATGTATATGATGTTATTTTGGCGATTTAATCTCGCGAATAAGTCCGTAGGATATTTTTGAGGTTGTGTGCATATTTGGTTTGGAGCCCCGAGGGCTCGGGTGAGTTTCGGATAGGCCACGGGTGCATTTTTGAACTTTGAAAATAATCTGGTATGCCTGTTCTGCAGTTTTCGCATTTGCGAATCAGGTCTCGCAAATGCGATCTCGCAAATGCGAGCCTGGCATCGCAAATGCGAGGAGCGAAAACTTTGCAACTGATCGCAAGTGAGACCAAATGGCTCGCAAATGCGAAGTGGGGTCTGTCGCAAATGCCCTCATTTTGTTCAGTGTTCGCAAATGCGAACTTCACTTCGCAATTCCCACATCTGAGTATTGCAAACCCCTGTTCGCATTTCCCATAACTGAGACCTGCAATTTTTACACTTAAACAATTTTGAGCTTCATTTTTCATATTTTCTCAAACCCAAACACACTTAGGCGATTTTCCAAGAACAAGTCTTCTTCCAAATCAATTGTAAGTTAGTTTTTACTCATTTCTTTCAATCATTAACATCTTTTAACATGATTTCAACCTAAAATCAAAGATTTTCATGGGGGAAATTGGGTGTTTTGGGTAGAACCTAGGTTTTTCAAAAATTGGGGATTTGGACCTCGATTTGAGGTCCAATTTCAAAACAAATTACATATTTGAGTTCGTGGGGGAATGGGTAATCGGGTTTTGGTTCGAACCTCGGGTTTTGACCACGTGGGCCCCGAGGCGATTTTTGACTTTTTAGGTAAAACTTTAGAAAACTCATTTTCATGCATTGGGGTTGATTCATTTAGCACTTATTGATGTAATTAAGTAACTTGTGACTAGATTCGAGAGGATTGGTGGTGGAATCAAGGGGTAAATCTATAATTGAGACTTGAGTTGAGTTCAAGGCATCGAGGTAAGTGTTTGGTCTAACCCTAGCTTGAAGGATTAGGAGTTGATTCTTATTTGCTAATTGCTTCTTGTTGAGTACGACGTATAGGCATGGTGACGAGTATCTATACGTTGGTGTCGAGCATGACCGTTGTGAGCACGTGATTTTTGCCCTATATGAATCATTCCCAAAAATTCAAACAAAATAATTTCTTTCATTATTTTGCAATTTTGTGGACTTTTGTGACATTTTAGGTTAATTGTTTGCATTTTATTTGTGCATTTTAATTCATATAAAAATATAAAAAATACACTTGACATTTGCATTTAGGTTTAATTTCACATTCTAGGATTAATTAGTAGTTAAAATTGCTTAAAAATAGAGAAAATAACAAAAATGGTCCTTTTTGCAATTATAGTCTTAATTTGTCTTAGTTTGCATTTAAATTAGGAATTATTATAATTGAAAATTAAGAAATATAATTTTTAGAGTCAGTTTGGTTTTTGGTTTTTAATTTAGCATTTAATAAAAAAAATATATATATAAAAATACAAAATGGAAAAGCAAAAAGAAAAGAAGAAAAGAAAAGGAAACCATTTTTAAATAAAGGAAGAGGGCTGATCTTAAAGATCCAAATTTGAGCCAAAGTAGCTTAGCCCAAACAAAAATTGCCCCCAGTCCGAGCCCACACCCATCCCCAGCCCGGTCCGACCTCCATTGCCTTCAAAACGACGCCGTTTCCTGGGGGTTAATCCTAGCCCTTGATTGTTTGATCCAAGGGACGGGAGCATCCTAGGTTAGTCGATATATAAATGTCGGACCCCGACCTACCCCCCCTCCATCATCGTCTCCAAACCCTCAGAGCCTCTAACCTAACGCCGGCGGCCGGAAATCGTCGCCGCCGGCGGCCCATCTCCAAACGCCACCAAAATTACACCCCTGGTTCCCCTTCTCCTCCCCTTTACGAATCCACCATCCGTTTCGCTCAAATCCCGGCCAAACGTTTCGAATGTTAGATCAAAGTTTTCCGGCCATGACACCACTTCTCCCAAATCAGTCCAAATTAACACCATGGAATCGCCTAAACCTCCTCTTTCAAACCCCCCAAACCCCGTCCCTCAAATCTAGTCGGAACTGCTCGAATATTAGTTTTAAATTTTTCGGCCAAAACCCTAATCGCTCCAAACTACCCCAAATTAATGCCACATGATCCCCTTGCTTCCCTCGTGACGAATTCGATGTCAATGGCACTCAAATCTCGCTGGGGAAGGGCTAATTCTGAATCTAAGAGGGAAAGTGAAAAAACAGTGAGTTGATAGTTTTCTTTGAATTACCTGTCCATTAGTGGATTGGAGTTTCGTTTTTTTTTTCAAATTGTGCTTTTCTGTGTGGCTTTGCTTGTTTAATTGGTGACCTGGGCCTGTTTGTTTAACTTTATCATTCGTTTAATCGTAGTTATTGTTAATTAGTCTATAGTCAGTAAGCTTAGTTTAGTTTTCTTTTGATTTTCGTTTCAGTCAATAAAATCCTTCTCACTTGATTGATTGTTATTCATGATTTAGTAATTGTTTTCTTATTAGTCGGATGGTTTCTTGCCCTGTTACCATGAGTTTTCAATTTCTGGTTAAATTGCTTTTGATTGATTTTTCTTTTAAGTGTTGTTTTGATTTTGATTAGTGATTTGTGATGATAGTTTAAATTGGTTTCCAATCAGGTTAGATGTGTGTTTTGTTTCATAGTATTACAATAGTTGGTTATCTTGCTGTTTGTTTGGATTGCTGAAGCCTGTAGTTAACTATAGTCAATTGTTAATTAATCATGGATAAGGGATTGGTTCAGTTAACTGGGGGTAGATTAATGATTTCAGGAATGAGGGTAGGGGTAATATGGGTAATCAAATAGTGGAATCTTGTAGTAACAGATTAGGAACATTCTAGAATAGGAATTTAGTTTTAATTTCAGAAGTTAGGATGCTTACTTGAGTAACGAGTCAATAAGTAGAGGACTAGTATGAAAATAAGTGAGGGACTAATGTGTAAAATAAGAAATCTGAAGTTGCACCTCATTGTGCCTATAAAAGGGCATTCCCATGCCTCGTTTCACAAGTTTGGAGCTCCAAAAATTCCCCCCAAAAGTGCTCTCTAGTTTTCAGATCTGAATTTGAGATTCAACATTCAAAAATAAATAAAAAACTAGAAAATCTTCAAAAATCCAAAAAAGTACTGATTCATTGTTAAATTTTAGGTTAGTTTCAAGTTTTTAGTTAGGGACTCACATTTTCTAGTGTGATCTTTGGTTGCTGAAGTTCAGAGGCTCATTTCGAGTTTATTTGGGTGCATTTGAGTGAATTCTGGTTATATTAGGCTGGTTTTTGGCTGTTTTCCTTGGCGTTCTTCCTCTTCTATTCATTGCTGGGTAGCTGTGGCCTTTTGAACTGAAAATCAACTTAGTTCTCTGGATTGCAACTGCTGTTTGTTTGTTTCCGCTGCTGACCTCTTCTTTCTTATTTCATTCAATTGCCAGGTAAATATTTCGAGCCTATGTCGATGTAGTTCCATCTGTTGAAAACGTGAAATGAAACTGAAGTTGAATTTCTGCTGAGGAGCTGCAATTTAAATAATTTTGTTGTGTTTATTTTTAGATAGTTCTCCTATGATGTGATTAGTTGTTCATTGTAGTTAAACTAGGATTGTTTTGAACTGTAACAGACTATTGGACTTTTAAAACTGGGAGTCATTCATTGGCCTTAGCTAGCTTAATCCTGTTTTCGTGTATTTTAATTAGTGAAACTAGAAGGATAGCTGAAGCAGGAAATGAATTCAAGGTCTGCGATCCTCATGTATTAAAAGTTAAAAATGAAT